TGTATGGTCGATCGTGGTGGAACATCAGGAACATGATCACTTGGTTCGATGCATTTTAGCCTGTGGAATGGGCTACTGAACAATCCATGTAAAACAAATTCTTATGGTGTCACCGCAACTCTTTCGGTCTAGCCGGTTCCACTGTCAAGCGACAAAAGTTATGAAAATGTACTTAATTTAGTGCTGCGAGAAATATTCTCACGTTCTGTCGATCTTGCTGTAAGCAACATTAATCACCTGTGGAAATATTTCTACCATCAGTTCCGTTTTCCCGTACTTTCTGGAAATGCATAAAAACTAAAAGGAAGCGCCCAACAAAAATGTCCTCTACATTTAATGTAATCGATAGAATTATATGATCTAGCCTCATCCTAAAAATTTTAACAATCACTTCTTCAGTGTTTGATTACGCCAATGGGAGTGGAAGTTCTGTAAACAGTTCTATCACCCGAGATAGTATTGTTATCGTTGTTATTATTGTTCGCAAAATACCGTGACAAAAGTCTCCGAAATTTCCCATTGACAAGCGAAAATTCATGCACACACGTGTTCAAATCAAAATAAACACAAACGTAGAACTTGAAACACATCCAACAAACAACTAGACACAAAAGTAGAAAATGGAGTCATATCAGTTTAAGTCGTGATTCGATAGGTAATTCCACCAGTTCCATTAGAACGACCTATTAAACTCTTCCGCTTCTGTTTAGTTGTCATTCATTCTGGTAAGGCTTATAACCTTTTAGCACGACATCTATATTTCGCGAGCCTATTACCTGGCAAAAACCAGGGAGGATGGCATGGTAATGGTAGCTAAATATAGCTAGACCTTAAAGTTGAAACTGCCCTACTTTCTAGCCGCAAAATGCTGACGCTATAGTTTGCCTGAACGGAAATAACATCAGCGATAACTACGTAAATAGAGTGTGGGTATCATTTTGGTAAGATTGATTCAAGACGACTTCGCTTTGGAACAATTCGCCCGAGCTACCAATATCTCCTTTGCAAATTCTGTTGTCGAGCTAGGATGGAGTGAAACAAAGCAACTGTGAGAATTCCACTGGCAATTCATGTTTATGAATGCAGTGTTGTCTTCAAGGTGAATGTTTGGTAGGAAAATTACTTTATTAAGCAGTTCGATTGATTCTTTCGTACTGTTCATGATAAATGCGCCAATGTCCATTTTCTTTCTTCCAGATATGGGTGAATTTGCCCGTGAGAATTTTGGTTTGTCCTGAGTTCCTCAGGAGATCAAACTCGAATTCAGCAATTTTGTAGTCATCAGTGCCTTGATATGTGCCGTTATCGTATATCTGAAATGTATACGCGAAATATTAAAGCAAATATTGTCATATACATGTAAAGTACATGTTTTGAGCGTTTTATATCCATACATACATTGTGCATGCATGTCCATATCATATATACATATATATGTATACATAGAATTCATTGCAATGTTTTGACTTATAATTAGATTTTAACTGCGATTGTTACCGAGCGTACCGATGCATCGGGAAGAGTTGATTCCCAATCATGTGCGCGGTAGTACAACGACGTAATGTTTGGCTAATGTCCACGGAGGTCTTTCAGAGAAATGAAGAAGAAAAAGCTGTCAAGATAATGTTAACCAATTTGTTCAAAAGCTGGTTTCGTTATTGTGCGGGGACGCATGGTGCTTATTCCCATGATTGCTCTGATTTTAAATATTTCATAATATTTCTCAAATTTGTAAGCCATATCAAATCCAGTTATAAATAGTGTTTGAGAAAATTGTGAGCGCTCACCTTGAAAGTGTGCGAGCCAAGTGTCTGCCACATCACATTATACTTTCTTGTTATATCTGAAGGCGAAAGGTCAGTCATAAAGAGTTTAGAATAAGTAGATCATATCATTAGATAACTTTTTCAAAAATTCCATACTATAGCTAATATTGCGTTCCAGAAACAAGTAAGATTTCTCGGTATACAGAATGAGTAAGCCAATAGAATACTCAAAATGCTGTGCAAAGTATTTAAATTATAGAGAAAAATACGAAACATTAAGAAACAGGAAAATTGTTGGGTCGGTTGCTTAAACTTCTTTGTTTTTTGGGGCCTCAAACGAACATCTGTTATAGCTTATGTTATCTTCTTTTTTTTNNTTTTTTTTCTTTTTTCTTTTTCGGTAGTTCCTAAAAAAGTAGTGGCACGTTTTGTGTCCTTTTAACAATGGGACGACCACTTATGCAGGTGATTTTCTGAAGTTATCAGCAGAAATACGATGCTCACTTCGTCTTCCATATGTAACATTTACGCCTTTGTTTACTATTACTCCTTGACTATGATATAGATCAACAGCGGATTCAACTGTTCCATTTACGCACCAATCCTCAAACTGTTTGTAGTACGGTTCTAGTGTCGTCTTGATGTCTGAAAATATAATTTAGATGAGTACCTTGGAGTTAAAGTGGAAGAGAGACTGAGAGAAATTGTTCACAATGATTGAGGTTTCCAGATGCTCCATAATTGACAAGGGCAGAATGAACTTATCCAATAATGATTTGGGCGAAAACGTCCAGGCAACATTTGTATTTGTCACTTGTTCCAAAAAGTGAGCCGCTATTCCTTTGTCTCTGAGGAGGGGATCGAACATTGTGAAGAGGCGAAAGGACAAGAAGTATTTATGCATTCTGTCATGCGATTACAAGTTGGAATATAAAAGAAGGATATTTTTGAAGTCCAGATCATTTGTGTCTATCAAACGAAATTATATGAAATATGTATGTTTCCTCTTCACCCAATACTTTTACTACACTCGCCCACTCATGGTAAATTATAAGTATCGTGCTATATATGGAGTAGTCTGAAGCAGGGTCATTACTCTACAATTATAGATAAATTAAGTTCTTTTCACTTTGAGTAACCCTCTTATCCTTCAGAAATAGCTGAATTGATACCTGATGGATAAGAGAGCGTAAATCATAAAGGTAGGTTCGAAAGCTAACTATCACCTACCTTCAGTAGCGATATTAGCTAGGAAGCAGGTCAGAACTGTGAGGAAGAGCAACATTCTGATTAGGGCAAAGTCTTCGTCTTCTCACCCTATTTATAGGAAACGGTGAATGGATTGGTATTACTTGTTTGGACAAAAAAGATATGTTGTCGTAGCCGGCAGTCGAAATATTCCGTATTTGCCATAATCTCGTACCTTGCAGGGAAACAATGCCAGCCCACGTATGAACTATGACACTAGGAAGATACATATTGTATGGTTGTCATAGAAGTATTCAAATAAATTGTATTTCCCATTTCAACGATGCAACACTAAGGCCCCTATAAAGTTTAGAATCTTGGAAAGGCTCAAGCAAATAAAGATACGTATCGATGCAACACTTTGTTTGGTTGAAGTTGAAAAGCCAGTTTTGTTGAAGGGTCGCTACTTCTATACATTCGACCCATGCTGTTTCTGCTCTCGTTCTCATTAGTCATTTTTATTGGAGTAAGCTTGGCTTGTTGCTCCTAGAACAACACAATTGTATACCGCATTTATATTATGATCTCGAATGCAATCATCACACTTTGATAGACACCGACTCCACCATTTTCGACCTAGGAAAATGCGTTGAATTGTAAAGTTATCATTTGTTTTGTTTTCAGTCGTGGTTTTGTTGCCAGCACAACTCGAGCCAATGAAATCGTGAAGAACAAGGCTAATTGAAGCGGTGCTTTGGCAAGAGGAGCCTTTTTTGACAGGCGAATTGCACAGCGCATGATCCCGCCTAGCCAGCTGCAATTGAGAAGATCTTCCTTTGTACAGACGAATGCATAATAACCAGAACAATTCGATTCGGATGCAGGTAAAGTTTCAAAAGTGATTTGTCATTTCTACATTATCTTCTTGTAGAGTACTCCCTTGAATACTTTTTTGAGGTTTCTTGTATAAGGCAATGTCAGCAGAAATTAATTCGGGGCCATGATCGCAAGGTTGAATAATATAGTGTGAATGGAACAGCAATGAGAATTTCAACATGGCCCAAATCTCAAAGTACTCGCTGGTCATAAAACTTCTGGAGTAGTCTTGATCTGGCTACAGTACTCGGTGTCTATCACGTAGGGTAGAATACTACACTGCAGAGCATTTTCCTCGTACGTAGAGAGAGATGGTCTTATACAATTTTGGAACTATGCTGGTATTACAGGCGCATGATGTACCACTGTACAATTTCAAGATCGTCGAATATTCCGATCAAGGCGTATGTCACTGATGTTAAGGAAATTTGTATCATAGTTGCGTCAACGAGCAAATGTCAGAAGCTTACGTTTTTCATTAAAGTGCGAATATTGGATTCCAAAAGAATTCTTCATAGGTGTTGAGACAGGAGGACCCTTGAAACAGATGAGAGTTCTCAGTGTGTCTAGTGCACATGTATTATCGTACAAATGAGGCACTTTACTGTGGCCATAAACAATATGGCAATTAGTAGTTGATGAAATTTTACTTGGACTTTTCGATACGTGCATCAAGTAGAGCAGGCGTTTAGTTTGGTTAAGGGGAGAACGGTTTTCCAATTTTTCTCCTTGTAGCAACAACTGACGATCCCACCTTCAAGATAAAATTTCACAGAAAACTTTACACGAGATTGTAGATGCTTGCTGATTTTACACTGGCTGAATCTTTTGCTGAAACCGCTGATTCTTTCTTCCTCTGAATATTTTGATGTGTGTCTACAGCATACAGTCCATGAAAATCGATGATCTAGAAAAAACATCAGTTGTCTGCAGGTGTTGCTTTTACAGACGTTAATTAAATCAGGCAAAATTGTTCGAAGTTTCGAGTTTGAGTTTGCACGCTTACAGATGAAAGTATCCGTCCTAAAAACATTTTTGTACCAACCAACGGACCCTGGATCATATTTGGTATAAGTCGGCACTGATTCAGCATTTGTACCGGATAGCGCACCAGTAAACACTACTCCACCTCGTTTTTGTAAGGATTTCTGAACCCGCGCGGAGACCTTTGAATAACATTCAGGTTTAGTGAAATACAGTTTTAATTAGCCACCACATTATCAGCCTCATAATGACTCCTCAAGATGGAAACACGTCTTCAATGTTTTCGGTTGTATGATAGTCGCATCAAACAACAGGAAAATCCAACACTTTCGTGTGAATTTCAATCATTTAAGTCTCAACTGCAATTGCACGTACGTACTGTATACATTACTATAGTACATCGCGGGGAATGTTAGGCACATAATTTGTACTACATTTCCTCTATATTCGTGAATCACTGTGTGTTTGTGTTTGTGTTTGTTCTCTTATTTTTTTACTTCGCTGTAAAAGTTATGAATTTATGATATTTCTTTTTTGCCCTAATCAATCTTTCGTCGTTATTGTTTTTCAAACCTTTCTAAACATTTTCTCTCTCAGACCTCAATGAAGGAAATTTATTAGAATGAATCTGGAGCATCACAGAGTCCAACACTCGGATCACAACGGCACTGTGGGCACTTACACATTGAGCATGTATTTCCTTTATCGTAAATGTTTGCTCCAAGTAGATTTCCTCTGGAATTCGATTCCTTCTAGGGAGAAGGTTAGCATAAAATTTTACAGAGAGCGGAAAATTTCAACATATAAACACACCTTTTCTGATATTGACAACCTGCGAGCACAAAATTATTACACACTTTTACGCCGCAGCCCAGTTTTTTACTTGACTGCCAAACCATCTGGAATTAATCGGATTTTGACAGCCAAAAAAATTTTTAAAATTTTTTAATTACCTGAGTATAATGTCCAACACCTCGATTGAATACTTGCATCGTCAGTTTGTTCTCCTTTCCAACACCCTTGGTTTCTAATTCGCTGAACCAACCCTCGGTGCTCTACAAGGAATCTTGGTAGTGTCAACGGGAACCTGCTCAACTGCGATCATCTCACCATAGCCGCAGCCGTAATCGGTTTCATGCGAGTGTCAGTTGACATAAACATGTTTTCACCGTTTTCGCCTCTGGAGTGACCCCACTTGCACTGATTCAGCCACCTCATCATACTTTCTTCGATTTTGCAATCGTAGCTCTACATCATATATGTACATTAACATAGATTATTCAAAGCACGTTGTCTAGTTTCAAGGTAGAATCAGTGCAAACCCACCATCCTGGCCATTTTCCCGGCTGTTGGAGCAGTGCCACCAAGCCTGTCTTTGGCGAGACCTCTTGCAACCTGGGACCTGAAAAGTTCTTTTCCCTCTAAAATGTCACTTTTCTGTCGTTGTTCTAGGACCACTAACCGGTATTCATTGTGTTTCTTCAGAAACATATCTCTGACCTCATCTGTCATTCCATTTCTGAGATTACACCGATCTGAGAATTACTGTATATTTATAGGGCAAATAAGGAAGTATATTCACAAATAAGGAAGTATATCGTATAAGGGTAATCACATACCAGCCAGTATAGCTGAGCTCAGAAGAGCCTGAAATATGGTAAAATCACGCGAGTAGAGAGCTTAGCAGTATTATTGAAACATTATACTGACCAAGTGGACCACTGT